GCAATGTCTCTCTGTTGCTGTTAGCAAATGAGCTGTGTTTGGTTTGTGGATTCTTAGCAAAGAGGGAGTGGCAAGGTGAAGAGTTTGTGTATCAGAGTGGGAGATAATGGGAAGTGTCTTTCAAGCAAAATGGCTTCAAAGGTTAAAAGTAAATGAGTGTGCACATATATGTATTTGTCTGTATATATGTGGAAAAAACACTGGATAGTGAAAAGTGGATATAATGAGAGACAATTTGTCTGGATAAAAATATAAACACAGAAAAAAGAGCATTCTAAGTAAAGATAAGAAGGATGGTATTTGAAAACTGTAGAAGTGAATGAAGAGATGTTGTTAGAAGCAAACAAAAGCCATCTTGTGTTGGTGGAGCTGCTGGTATGTAATGGCCAGGGGACTTATGCAAGTAAACTGATTATGCTTGTATCTTGTCTAAATATCACCAGACAGATGAACTATTGAAACATTTCAGGTTTGAGATCTTCTGTGGTATGAAATACATGGCAGCTTTTTAGGACATTCTTCCATATTATATATATGTATTGAGCTTATATTGGAATAAATATGAATTGCAACAGCTTGTCAAAAACACATCTAAGGAGAACTTCTTTAATACAGAGCAGTACCATACTTCTTCCATGCTTATATACACTGTTTTTAAAGAACACCAACTGTAAGATAGACTGTTTTTTTTTCTTGGCGTTGGCCAGAAGCGACGAGAATTATACCTTAAGCTCTTGGCACATTAGTAAATTGGTCAGATAATGATGGTTGCCTTTTATAGGACCTTTCTTCAATCTTTGCAAAGACCAATTTGAGGTGTATTGGCTAGGAGATAAGTTGGGATCTTTGAATACACATAGCAAATTAACATCAATGTAAAGGAAGTGTTTAAGTGATGCAAACACTTCTAGGGATAATTTACTAATTATTTTATGTTCCACAGCTAGTTTCCATTTTATTTACTCATGTGGTTTGTTAGGTCCTATCTGTAGTTGATGCGTTTCATAAAGTTCTACTGACAAATGCTACTTGTAAATTAAAGCCAAAGGATTGTGATGAAAATTTTTCTGATTCTCATAAAAAATTCATTCTATTTATATCTGTACAGTGAGACTGAATGTCACTTCTCTGTCCTATGATGTAAACTTTCATCAGTGTTAGTGTTTTGCCACAAAACAGATGGTAGTCCAAGAATTACGCTTATGGGGAAGAAAGAAGGAGTTAGAAATCAAACAATTTAAACATCTGATAGTCACCAGGTTAATGTGACATCTGTTTTTTTGATTTTTCTTTTGGCTATATTTGTACACAATTTAAAATTGGCTACAGTTGCTACCTTTTTCTGACAGGGGCCTCTAAAAGGATTTAAAAATAATGAACTGAAACTTTAATTGATAGTACCACTGTAATTCCAGTAATACATTTTAGGGTTTCTTTTTTCCCCTGGAGAAAGTTGCCCTTAGCCCTTCTTGTCTGTGAGCTAAAATCTTAACTGTAAAGTTGGGAAAAGGGGACCCTTTAAAATTGGCTGGAGAAGGGGAGAGAACTTGGAAAACAATTGGCCGAGCTCAAAGGCTTAGAAATGACTATGGTGTGTGTTTGGGCTTATCATTCAGAATTCCTCTTGACTGAAGAGTTTTCAAACTTGAGCCAGAGGAGCTTTTTAAAAGCAGCTGACTGTTTCAGTAGTTTGACAGATAAATCCTTAAGAGCTGAAATAATATCAAAGGCACAAAGTTTAAAACAGCTTCCCAATTAAACAGCTCTTTTTTTTAATGTTTCTACCTGTACAAATTGAACAGCACTGATGAAGAAAATTAAAGTTGTCAGAGTAGGATTCTGCTTTAGGGTTTCATTTTATTGTTTTTAATAAGATTTAAAAAAAAAAATTGATTCACATTTTACAGTAATTTAACTTGTCCTTTGATCATAGTATAAAGGAAAGTGACAACATGGCACAAATTCAGCAGAACATCTTCCAAATGTCTTTGCAGAGGACTTTGGTAAATACAGTGGTACATAACCAACTGGAAAAAGATTCCTGTATGCTTTTGTAATGGTGAAAACACTTCAGCTGTCCAGAAGATGCTAAGACTAGTGGAGAAAGAAATGCTAACTTGAAAGTAAAGTGGAATAAAATGTATGAGAGTGAATAGTTACATGATTGAGCGGTCACTTGGAAAAATTGTTTCTTCTAGTCACTAAGTGTTCTTCCACTATGCATGGGTACACGCACCCTATCCTGGATGACAATAAAATCAGTCAATATCTAAAAAGCAGGTTATTTCTGTAAGTCTCTTGAAGGGGGGGAGGATAGTGATCTTGAGCCCCGCTGAGTTAAGTGGAGGAGGAACAGTGGTATAAACGTAAAGGTGTGCTAGTTCAGGCGTGCCGCAAATGGAAGAGTTAGCACAGACAGAGCTCTTGGCACATGAGCAAAGGGATTTTTAGAGAGAAGACACACCTAGAGTAGATGAATGCATTATGATCATCCATCCGTGTACTTAAGAGAAATAGGATTTTACAACATCCTGGAACAATGTACTTTCCTACCATTTTTCATAGTTTTTACACCTACCTTTTAACTTTGTAAATTCACACTTTTTAGTATTTGCGAAATACTACTGTTTGGCTTTGAAAATCCCAGAAAAGTATTGGCATTGTCAAAAACTTGATATATGATACACAAGAAGCTGTCAATATCACTTTCTAAGTGTATTTGAAAACTTCTTGTCATGATTTTTCTCAGTTTCAAAGTATGTAATTATATCGCATGTTCTGGGACTGTGAGTTGTTATGCTCTGTGGTGATTGATGTGCAGAAACAGATAGTGAGGTCAACAGGGTGAGCTTGAGACGCTGTGCAAATTTTAGTTGTCAGAACTTTAATCACTTAAGTCCCGTTACTTTGTCATTGACACACTTTCAGTTGAGGAGTGTCTCTTAACATATATCCAGCCATATGGCAGGGAAGCGATTGGAGCATAGAGCCTCAAGTGTGTCCTTCATGGGATGAAAAAGCATCCTGTAGCTCATAGATGTCATGTGAATGAAAAACCTGCTTGTATATGCACTGTTACCACATTTGAATTCCTGTCATTTGGCCATGTAATTGGTTTCTGATCATATAAGGAAAAAGGCTGCAAAATTCCTGGGGAAGCAAGGGTCAGAAAAGTGCAATTTGGAACCGCACCCTGATTCTTAAGAGGTTGTAGTAGAAAGTGAACCACAAGCCAGATAAGCTCCTCTGGTGGGTCAGTTCAGTTCAACGTCTTCAGGTTGGACACACTTAAAGAATAAAATAAAAATCATGTTCTAAAAACAACTTGGTGAAAATACTTTTTTAGGATTAGGTAAAATTTATAATGTAGTTTGCATGGTAATGCTGCTTCTTTTTACAGCCTGTTAATGTTCAACTCTTCTGTGATTTGGACTCCCAAGCTCCTATAAAGTCATACAAGGAAGGTTAAAGCATTTTGAAAGAGATTTTTTTAAAATCTAAAACCAAAATCTAAATGCATTATTCTAGTTCTTTACTGAACTATTTGCAAATTTGGTATATAAAACTGTACCGATTAGATGTTAGTTTCTTAAAAGTAAATTTGTCAGTGATTGTGACTGGCAAGTCAGCCCATGGTTTTCATTAGCAGCTAATAGTTTTTAACTTTCACAAATCAGTTCTAAACAAACTGTATGAAACTTTGACTAACAAAAATGTTAGCATTTAAACTCATTGTTTCTAAAAGCTGTTTGATGTAAATCCAGTTTAAAGAATTAATCTAGAGCATCATTCACATTCCCTAACTGATAGGAAAACTGGCCATTTGAATGGGTTGGAACATTGTCATGGTAAATATGTACCTCTTGGTAAGTGGCAGCGAATTTAATGTTCAAGGCCATATTTAAATTACTGAGAATTAGAGTTTTCTTGGAATATAAGAAATATAAACAGTGAAGAACTTTAGTTGAAACTTTAGGTTTCTATTACATAGACCTCCCCTTGTTGCAAATAAGTTAGATTCCATTAATTTCACGGGTTCCTTCTGTTAAATACAAACTAGTTATTGTTACTTTAAGAACCCTTCAAATCACGCCCTCTGTCTCTACTTGTGGCTTGCCATTCATTTCCAGAAGGTTCGGAACAAAAAATATTAAGAAATATAAAGGAAAGGCTTGGTCTTCGTTGTGTAGGTCTTCATTCTTGCATTTGCTGATGTGCCCTGGTTTATTATGTTTAATCACCTGCGCGTTCAGGCAGGGGGAAGTGAGGGGTTTATTTGTATACCACAAATTAATCTTTGTAAATCACAGGCTATTCTTGATTATTATCTGAAAAACTGATGAAATATTGCTACGATTATTTCCAATGTCACCTGTAAAAAAAGTTATTTTTAAAAAGTCATCTTGTCCATACAGAACCTTAAAATAAATCTTTTTTTGTCTGGTCTTGAATAACAGCTGCTCGGGAAACATGTTTTTCCCTCGTTTTGGTGGAGACTTCTGTCTTTTGGTTCACAGCTTATGCTAAAATCTCAACCAATCATCTAGCCTCAAACAGTGGAGACAAGCCAGAGTGTTTTGCTATGGCAGGAATAGAAAAGTCAAGGTCATCTGCTAAAATATTACTCCCTTTCCTCTCCTCTGAACACTACAGAATGGTAACTTTGACATAAGATGTTATCACAGTGTAAGTCCTTCACATTATTCCCCTCATGGCAGGGAAGCTAGTGTGCAGCGTCAGTAAATTAAGTTCAATAATATAGCTATAGAGGGTTATGTATTGATATTTAGAAATGCAGCTCCTCCTAGTAATCAAAAGAGCGTGCATTCATATGTTAAGTAATTCTGTAGCTCAGCTGTTGTTTACAGTTTGGTAGCTATGTATAACTAGTACAGCCAGATCAGTCTTAGGGAGTAATACATACTTAAAACAAATGTATGCCATTAGGTTAATGTAATACTCTTCCTTCAACTCTTTATCTAGCTTATTAATTTATAAAAATGCTACATGGTGAACTGTTGCATGTTCACAGTGCAAATCTTTGACCTGTTTTCTAAATGCAAGGAGACTGTTATGTTGTGCTTGGCTCCCTACCCCTCCCCCCCGATATGTTTTTATGATCTATATTTTTGTATTGATTTCTAGGTTTCTTTATTCAGATGAAGTTCAGATTGGTCCAGAAACAGTCATGACTACTTTATACACTGCTAAAAAGTATGCAGTGCCAGCCCTGGAAGCACACTGTGTGGATTTTCTAACTAAGCACCTCCGAGCAGATAATGCCTTTATGCTGCTTACTCAAGTAGGTGAATTTAAGCATAGTTTTGGTTTCCTAGGAAAATCAGTATTTGGAGGGAAATGACTAAATATTACTTCACAGTGGGTTTGCTATCACATAGTCTAATTTATGTATGAAAATGTCTTGTTTCTCTTATAGCACTTTTACAGACTCAGCTTCTTACTAATGTGGAGGAAAGGCTTTTTCTTTTCTTAATATGCAATGGCCTGAGACATTACAATGGAACCAGTTTATTCTGCAGTGTATTTGCATGAGTGTCTCAATTGGTTTTTGTTAAGACTATGCTTCAGTTCACTGTTGTGGGTGGATTTGATGTGTATTTTTTTTTTAGGTATATTGCCAAAACTACAAATGTAAGCACAAAGGAAAACTTGCATGTAGTAAATGCTCCCTAATTGTGTACGCCTTTGAGAATTTAAGTGCTCTTTAAGGTACAAACACAGAGAGTACTTAGACAAATCAACATATTTTAATTTAGATCTATTCTAGAGTAAAAGTACTTGCTTTTTAAGATAAGTGGTTTGTCAACTTCATGCTTAAGACATATTTCTTTACCTTTTTAGGCTCGTTTGTTTGATGAACCTCAGCTTGCTAGTCTTTGTCTTGACACGATAGACAAAAGTACTATGGATGCAATAAGTGCAGAAGGCTTTACTGATATCGATATAGGTAAGTTACTTCACGTGTCATAAGCGTTAAACTTCTGAATGGAATTGTAGGGTGTAAGAAGATTTTTGTTACAGGAACCTAGGATAGTTTGCCTCCCCCATCTAGGTATGTAGAGTCTGAAGCATATCTTATCTCCTTGTCGTGGTAGCCTGGGGTAGTTGGCTTCCCCCCTCATCTGCACCCACCTTTGCATGGGCACCAATGTAACAGCTGGCTGTGGATCTTGGAATTTGGGCAACAGCACCTGCATTACATCAGCACGTTTGCTAATGAGCAAAACAGGACATTGCATATGTATGATATGTTAATCAGTGCAAGTTTTATTATCCACCCCTGCAGTGCTTTCCTTTGAGTTTCATTCCTGAGCAGGGATCTAGTGCGTTGGGATCCCATTAGATTAGTGTCGATATCCTGGAGCTCCCACCATGGTAGCACTATGCTTTCATCAAAGCCACAGCTTTCACTTCCTGAGTGTTGTGCCGAGGGATCCACACCTGCTTTTCACACGTAACAGGAATCATACTGGTTTGTTGCCACATGGTGGTACTTTAATTCAGTTGTGTAGATCAGGTACAATTTATTAAATCTGTTTAAAAAAAGAAATATCTAAACTGCTGGTTTCTATGCTTTATCTTTTACGAAAAGCTAGCAGATGTAAATTTGCTTACTTAATTTCTATTGTTACTATATGTGCCTAAGATTTTACTCCAATTCAGCTAGACTGTGAAAAACTCAGACTGAAGGAAGGTATTCCAGCTGTGTAAGGAAATTGTGAAGTCATTGTTAACTCACATTCAATGGGATTTGTACGCAGACTATGAGTGTTCATATCTACTCTTGATTATTCCCAGTCTGTTTTTACTTCCAGTATGGTATTTCCTATAACTGCAAACATGCTTTGCTATATTCGGGGCATATAAAAATTCCTCAGAAGATTCAGCATATGAAAACACTTTTTTTTTTTGTTTCCAGGCTCGTGTTCTGTGAGCATTTTTGCATACCTGCTATTCATAAGCTGTCAGAACTAGTAAGAAATACAGGAAAACTGCTTTTGTAAAACATGTGAGAGTACCTTGCCTCACATTCTGTGTTCCACCTTCAGGCCTTGTGGGTGACAAATACGTCAATGTTTAAGATTGCTTTAAACTGGGTTTGTGTTCACCACTGCTGCTTGTGTCTATAGTTGATCCAGATTGGCAGGTGGCTGCACGGATGAGGATATGACGATGTCATCATGAATAACTCGTTTTTTTAGTAGAGTGCATTCACCGCTTGGTCACTTCCAGTTTTGACCTTGCTCGCCATGGAAATTCTTTAAGATATTGGTTTGTCACAACATAGATTATATATAGTCACACTCTTGGGAATCAAGAAGAAAGTTCATATGAACTGTCTTCATAGCAGGAAAATAATTTTTTTTATAGTTTGGAGTCTGTGCACCACTGGGAGATTTCTTTATGCATAAGATAAGTTGTCTTCTCTTTGATGTCTTATTATGAATGTTCTTAGTGTTTACTTGCTTAACATTTTAAGCTTACATGATGTGTAGCACTGTTACTGTTTGGATGAAAACTGATGTAAATCTGTTACTTTTTTTTCTTTAGACACATTATGTGCAGTTCTAGAAAGAGATACCCTTAGTATTCGAGAAAGTAGACTCTTTGGAGCTGTTGTTCGTTGGGCAGAAGCAGAATGTCAAAGGCAGCAACTGCCTGTGACGTTTGGAAACAAACAGAAAGTCCTTGGAAGAGCTCTTTCCTTAATCCGTTTTCCATTAATGACTATTGAAGAGTTTGCAGCAGGTGAGTTTTGGGGTTCTTTGTCTTACTGTCTTACCATATCTCTGCGCTGTTCTCCTGTGTGTGTTTAGATGCTTAACACTCTATTCTGTTACTAATATCGTACTTATAAAAGCTGTGATGCACAAATGGAAGCAAAACATTCTGCAGAATACACTCTGGTCATTGGAAAATATTATTGTCAACTTGAGTTTGCGAACAAGTGTGGTTTAAGTACAGCAATTAGTATAATTCTTAAAATCATCTTAGAATTTTTCTTCCTTTCACAGGCCCTGCTCAGTCTGGGATCTTGTCAGACAGGGAAGTAGTAAATCTCTTTCTGCATTTTACTGTCAATCCTAAACCTAAAGTAGATTATATTGACCGACCAAGATGTTGCCTTAGAGGAAAAGAATGCAGCATTAACAGGTTCCAGCAAGTGGAGAGTCGCTGGGGCTACAGTGGAACAAGTGATCGGATTAGGTACGGCTTTTGAAACTATTTGGAGGAGAGACAGGGAAGTGTGGGAAGAAAGGGAACATATTGCTCAACTTCAACTTTTTGACATAAGACACAGTAACAAACACGCTGGTTCTGTTTCGGCACGTTTGATCTTTTCCTTTTTTTTAAAAATAACTTAGGCTGTTGCTCACATAAAATATAAAGTAGCAAAGAACAAAGTTGGGTGCATTCTAGAGTGATTGGGTGTTAGCTGCTTATTCTTTTTTTAAAATACCAAGTCTTGATCTGCTTTTATTTTGGAGATACTCAAAAGAATCTGGTTATTTTTTATTTAGTGATACTGAATATCTTGGGCAATTAGCAAAGCTTTAACCTATAAAGCTGATACGTAACAAAGCATTTTTCTTATTATTGAAATATAAATAGAAAGTGTTCTTGAAAAAAAATTTAAGTAATGTCATTTTCAGTTTACTTCCCTACTCTTTCTCCAGTGGGAGTCTTTTTCCTACTTGACTGGGAACAAGGTAACACACCCATCACAGTTGTTTAAATGTCATTCTTGGCTTGTGTCTTACTAGGTTCACAGTTAATAGAAGAATTTCCATAGTGGGATTTGGATTATATGGATCTATTCACGGACCCACAGACTATCAAGTTAATATACAGGTACAGTATATTCTGTTTAAATAGTCTTATGTAGAAACTACACTTGTAGTACTTACAAAAGGTTTGGTGTATATTTGAACTGAGTAGGAGCAATCTGATAGGGCAGGAATCTAACCTGTGTTTTGTCCCCAACAGTGGTCATAAGCAGATGACTAGGGAAAAGTAAGAACAATATGAAATTCTTCTTCCTTTCTGCTGTATTATTCTGTCCCTTAGTCATTTTCACTATAGCCCTTATCCTAAGACTGATTTGCTCTCTCTATTTAGTAGCTCCTGTTGAATCTTTCTTTGGGATACTTGTCCGGTCTAACCTTGAATTCCTGTAAGCTTTCTGCAGAGGAATTTTACAGCTCTGTAATCTGTTCAGTTGTGCACAAAGTCTGTCCTTTATTAAAGTTTCTAGTAATTCAGGAAAAAGATCTTGGATTTGTCATCAACAGCTCTCTGAAATGAGTGACACAACACGTAGTGACTGCTAAAAAACCCCACTGTGTCATCAGGAAGATACTGAAAACAAAAGGTGACATTGTGTTGCTGAATGAAAGCCAGGTATGCCGACATCTTGAGTATTGTGTGCAGTTCCCAATCTCACACAGTAGAATTAGAAGGTAGAGAAAAGGGTAGTTAAAATGATTAAGGGGATAGAGCTGCTGCTTTATGAAGGGACTAGGCTAGGACTCCTCAGTTTGTAGGGGAGAAGGCTATGGGAAGCTGTGAGCAATGCTTCTAAAATCATGAGGGCAATGGGTAAGGTAACTGCAGAACTGTTTGTTACTCATCAAACCCCAGAACTAGGAGACTCTTACTGATACTAGCAGAAGATCAAACCAGAAAAGAGTATTTTTTCAGTGCAGAGAATACTAAACATACTGCAACAAGAAGCAGATACCCTGTTTTGATTCTGGTGATATTTGAACACATTCCTTCATCAACAGCAAATCCATTAGAAGATTCCAAAAGGAACAGAAGGGGGATGTGCACTTTAGCACCCCTAGTAGAACAGTTTTGGATGCTGGGAGAACAGACAGCAGAGCCCGGACTTGTGTGTTAACCCTCAGCAACATCTTCTCTTGCCACTGTCGGAGCATATTTGACCATTTGTCTGATACTTGTGTGTTAACCCTCAGCAACATCTTCTCTTATTTGTCTGACCCAGTTGGGTATTTATTAAATTCTTAGCTTGCCTGGTACCTGTACTGGTGCTTAGAGGCTTGTCCTTGCCCAGAACTTTTTGGAAAGATTGACATCTTGCTATTGATTCAGTCTTAGGCAGAACATTGCATGTTACTGTTACCATACCTTCCTTCTGTAAAATTACTTCAATTTTAGGTTTGCTGAAAACATTTTCTCAGCACAGAAATCTCCTTGGTTTCTTCTGCTGGTAAATGATCTGTTTGTATTTCTGTTCTCCAGGCTCTCAGTGAAGACCTTACCCTGCTGCTACTGTTTTTTTTATCTTTGTGATGCTTAGTTCACTAGAGAGTCTATAGGGCTTTTTGCTACTGCTGTGTTGAAAGAATGAGTTAACATTGGTTTTGATGCTTTCAGATAGCTGTTACTAAACCTTTTTTCGGCCTGCTTAATTGTATTTTTTACATTTTAATCTGTCACTTTGAAACTTTCTATTTTAATCTGGCTACAACTTCATATTTTTGTAGGATGCCCATTTTTGTTTGTTTATTTCTAGTAATAGTCTTTTGCTGATCAGCCATGCCAACTTTTTCCCCCCCCTTTTCTCAAGCCTTTCCAAATCGGTGATATGTACTTATGCTGTCCCTGGGTATGTGATGTCCTTCTGTAGTCTGCATGCTTCTTGCAAGGATTTGATTTTCTTAATTGCTTCTAATTTAGCTTCTTTTGAACAAGCTTCCTCATTTTCCTCTTTTTGAAATTTAGCACAGCTGTGGTGGATTTGCTTTTGTTGTTCCTGTGGGAGCATTGACTCTAAGTATATTATGGACACTCTTACATAGTGTTTCCATTATGAAATTTTGAATCTGATCCTGCTCATCACTCAGTACCAAATCAAGGGTTACGTTTCTTCCTACTGACCAATTGGTTAGCAAGCTCATGAAATGGTCAGTGATAGCATCTAAAAATGTCACCCCTGCTTCGTGTCCTGATATGACACTTGCCCGGTCTGAGCAAGTAATTGAAGACACCACTAAAATTGTATTTCCGGCGCTTGTAGCCTGTTTGATCTCTCTTAGCACATTGTGGTCACAATTGTCTTCTAGTAATATTGATCCACTACTATATTTTTTTGCCTTTTTAAGTATGGAAATTCAGTCCATTTGAATTCCCTTTCTTACTGAGGTTAGTTTTGATTTGATTCTAAGCTTTCTAACAAGATATTAGCCTTCTGTGACTGGCACAGTTTTACTCTGCGCTGTGTATTTTGTAATCTGGTACTATCGCATCACATCGATTCATTAGGTGTGTGGGAAATTTTGAGAAAGAAAGAATCTGTGATTTCATTTAGGGACAGAAATTCCATTGTCCCTATCTTATTTCATAGACTTCTAGCATGTGCCGGAACTGCTGTTCAGTTCATTTCTGGGCATACTATTTAAATGACAGTTTGTCTTCTGTTTCCTGTCTGATTCTATTCTCTGACCATGGTGTATTTAAGGATAGGAATTTTGTGTCTGTCTCAAGAAAAAAAATGTTGTCTTCCCTCTTATGATGTTCCAGAGAGAATATATGTGCAATGAGATTTTGAAGGAATTTGTTGGCTTTTCCACATTCCTCAGTTTAAAAGCTCACTTGCAAATTCCTCAATTTGGAGTGCCATCAATTTGGTTTTCTCAAACTATGTATCGGTGTAAATGAATAGCATAGTGTACTAGACTGGATCTTTAGAACAAAAGAGTTGGTACAGAGGACCTAGCAGCTATGCTGTATATATTTGGGGATTTTTACTTTGCACTAACTCTTGTTTGATCATCTCGCCCGAATGCCTGCTAGCAGATTAGAGCATTTGGTGTGCTCCCATGTTTGCTGGATTTGTTTAATCTGAAAAGCATTTGGTTCTTGCAAGGCAAACCAAAGCATATTAAGTGAGAATGATAAGAGATTCACTTGAAAACCATGCTCCTGATACAGGTTCTCTTTATTCTGGAAGTATCCCCCATTCCTGATGAATCTGAAACTTTCTCTTTGCAGTATTTTCAGACCGGTATTTAAGTCCTGTGTCTCTACCTTTCTTCTTGGACCTGCATCAGTACTAGCAGAGCTCCAGAGAGTTAAACATGTAATACTTGTCTTAAAATAGTGATAATGTATATTGCAAATACATCTTCCATGTGAAAGGTGCTTAGGATTTCCGCATTATAATTGTTACTATTTCTGTTGATTGTGGCTGGGAAAAAATCAGAGCACATTTTGCCTAGAATAGGGCTTCATATCATTTGTGCAATATTAAAAAATACATAGCAATTTTTAATAATATCAAAGTTGATAGGATTCTTGTTAGTGCAGTAATCATGTTACTCTAAAGCTCTGATATCCAACTTCTGCAAGAGGTGTTTGGCAGAATGGATCAGGGTTGCTATCCAAAATGAGAAGTGGGGTATCTGCTCTTGCTACGTGTTAGCTAGCGATTCCACTGAAGTTGAGGGCGAAAGAAATAATATGTAGTCTGAGTGTAATTTTTATACTGAATCTATACTAGAAATAAATTGTATAAAACATAGCAGTGCAAGTTCCTGTTTTCTTTTAAGAATGTATCCATGTCTGCTTATGTTATCTGTAAAAACTTTTTTTCTAAATTAGCCATAGCCAGCGAATGTGCTTCCCTCATGTGGGCTGTGTAGGCATACGAAGGTCAGCAAATCTGAGTACAGGATTATATGTAGCATATCAAGATCAGAAGCTGAAGGTGTAAGAGCTATTCTTCACCTCCCAAGCAAAGACTATAACCTGGTTGGAGTGGTGTTGAATGTAGCCCCTGGATTGGACACCCTGTGTAAAACTCACAAGCCATCATTCAGCACACTGCTGGGTCAACCCTAATGTCAGGAAATTACACCTATTGTCCAGTTCTGAGATTGCACTATCCCTGCAATTAAACTGGGTGAAGTAGGCAAGTGTTTGCTTGTAATCTTCCAATATGTATGCAGTAAGAGTCTTTCTCAAGCTCGTAAACCTAAAAATGCTGTTTTAATGTTTTTGTACAGATAATTGATTATGAGAAGAATCAAACGCTAGGACAAAACGATACTGGATTTAGTTGTGATGGAACGGCGAGTACATTCAGAGTTATGTTCAAAGAACCTATAGAGATATTGCCAACAGTTTGCTACACAGCTTGTGCAACGTTGAAAGTAAGAATGCCTAACAGTATGGAGGGAAATGTTATTTTGATGGAAGAGTTGTTCTTTTACCTGTCTTCTGATGGGAAAGCATCTTCTAGCTCTCAAATTTATTTTAAGTTTAGTGCTAAAGAGGGCCGTAGGTAAACTCCACAGTAGCATTTTAAGACTGCTCTCTCTCTTCTGTGCCACAGCACAGAATTCGTAACTGGATCCTTTGTGTCTTGCCACTTTCTGGCTTGATGTAAGAGTTAAGATGAGTCCTAATGGAAATCACAGGTTCTGTGTGGGCAAAAGCACTATCTAGAATATTTAATCTGGCAGCTCTCTAACAAAACTAAAGTTTGATTTCTTTAATCAAGGATTTTCTCTAATCACTAGCTAGTCAAGAAAACAGAAAGCTTTATCACTTTTTATACACTAGTGCTGAAAGATAGGAAAGAATTATTTGTTCTAGGAAAGTCTCCCCTTAATGTTATGGACAAATTTATTTATTCAGTATTTTCTTAAAAATATTCTCTCAAATACAGTTCCCTATACAGAAATCAATTGAGTGGGTTGGAAAAAAACCTTGCACATTCAAAGAAGCTGAGGCAGGGAACTAAGTGAGAATATAGACGACCTGTATGACAAGGAGAAATACTATAAAATATTTATTCATTACTGGTTGGATAAAGTTGAGAGGTTTAGGTCTGCTGTCACAAAAACTTTTTTTTTTAAATTATTTTTAAAAAATTTAAAAATTTAAAAATTAGACATAGGGTGCTTGCTTCTGTGGTCTCTGATTTTACATATAACTTAAATGTTGTGGGTACAGAGATGTTACACTGTTAAAATAAGCTAAGTCAGTAGTGTTTGAACCTCAACATTTTACAGGTCTTGCTGCCCATTTGCATTCAGTTGCCAATCTCCTCTGATGTTTTTCAGGGTCCCGATTCTCACTATGGAACAAAAGGTTTGAAGAAAGTGATCCACGAATCTCCTACCGCTAGCAAAACATGCTTTGTCTTTTATAGTTCACCAGGTAACAACAATGGTACATCAATAGAAGATGGACAGATACCAGAAATAATATTTTATACATAATCTCACGTGATCATCCCGAATGTGTCAGCGTATCAGTGGACTTTGGCTCACTATTGGCGGCAGTTAAAAAATTCTGCGAAATTGCATCTATATGTAAAACCAAAACTAACTTGTTTGAGAGGTACTAGAAAAGCTATTTTTTCTGCATCGTTATTGGCAGAATGTAATTTAGCTTTTCCTCCTAACAACATGTCAAGTGGAGTAAGTGCTCTGTATATTGAAAGGATTGTTTTAAACGGTCTCTTGTTATTAACTGCTTTGTCTTTTCACCCCTTCATTTCTCATGTAGTAAAATCCATTTTTTGAACTGGAAAATCCTTACTCATTATGAACTTCGGTATGTTTTCCCCAAACTGTCCTAAAAAGACAGTAAAGCTGCTGCTGTAGTCCCAGCTTACACTTCTTTCCAAAATGACCTTGGAATGACCCTATGGACATAAATTGCTGGTTTATTTTCTGAAGTACATCAGCAAAGCTGGATTCATATTGCTATCATCCTGACTTTTTGGGTGAGCCGTGGAGAATCAATGGACTTTGCAGACAGCATCTGCAGCTTCACTGAAGAAATACTAAGTCAAATTCAGCAATAAACAGATCTTTCCAGAATCTCTCTGAATTCAGAAGGGCTGTTTTGGAACATAGAGCTGCTTATGGAAATAGCCACTGTATAAATGTATGTGCCTATAAGAAAATGTATAATGCAAAAATGAGAACACAAGACTTGTAATGAGGTTATTTTATTACTGGATGGTCTAATACTAAAAAATCAGTATGAACTAAGGATTGTATGCAACTCGTTTTACAGATTGCATACGCTAATTTGCTGCAACTGATGTATGTATATAGCGCTCGGTGTCTTGTAATATGTACTGTGTAGTAGTAGAATGTCTTCATGTACAAAATTCTGTACCCTCCCCAAATTCTACTAAAGTAGTAACTTGTGAACACAGGAGGGGAAAAAACCCAAAACCTCCTACTTTCTCTTTAAACGCCTGCTCCCGTGAAGGTCGTGCAGGTCTCGGGTCTCAAACCACAGCCTTTAAACCAAGCCCTGCCCTTCGCAGCACCTGCTCTCTGCAGACCTCGCTGGCCACGCTCCTCGGCCCCCGCC